CTATTTTCACTCCATTCCAACAATTATATGGAGTTCTAGTATTGATGCAATTCACCCACATGTGAAAGATTATAAATAAGTGCCTTTCTTGTCTTTAAAAATTGAGGAAGTCTTGGATTTGTCTGTAGAAAGACTTCACTTTCAGGTCTCATTGAATGGCAGTAATCTTTTGAATTTATCCTTCTTACAACAGTTTGATACAAGTCACTGTAACCTATTGATATCTGAAGCCAATTTATTTAGGGATCTAGGCTTATAATTGAAGAAACCATACAGATAAATAAGAAATCCAACAGTTGAATATTCCTGGGCCAAGTCTTCTCAGGGATTCTAAGCACCAAGTCTCACCACTGACTTCAAGAAAACGTGCAAAAGTATCTGAAGGAAGCAGCATTTCCATGATGATCAGCCACTATAGATTATACATTTTATTCTTCCAAGGGACAATGTTCACAGCAATAACATGAGTTGGGAGATATGGAACATTCAATTAAAACACTGATCTGTAATTACATTAAAAATAATGCAACCATTACCATGTATCAGGATGGATTATTCAGGAACAAGTCTAGCAGGCTAACGTTATCTTATTTTTTTAAATATAATTTTAATTGAATAAATTTTTACCAAGATAAAAACAATATAAATATTAGAAAAGAAATAAAGAAAATAAAGTATAGTGAATAAGTAAGAAAGAAAATAGAAAAAAAGAAATAGAAAAGATTATAAATAAGTGGCTTCCAATATTTTTGACAGTGGCTATAAATGCATTTATATTTTACCCTCTTTCTGAGAGGTTGCATCATAATTTCCTTCTTTGTATAACCTTCCCTTTCTAATCTTCAAACCCATAAATCACAAGTTAGTTTTTCCCTTTTTTCAGCAAAACGTCTATAAGGGGTTTCCAGTCACTGATAAATGTAGTTGTTGATCTAATAGAAAAGAATAGTTGTTGATAGAAGAGTTGTTGATCTTTCTCTAATCAAACTAACGTTACCTTATTTTTGATTGGGTAACTTCTTTAATAGGTCAGAGATTAGAAGAATAGGCTGAAAGTAACAGCATGAATTTAACAGAATGAAGAATACTTCATTTAGGAAATGAAAATCAAATGCACAGGTTTAGGATGGGGAATATATGACTTACTAATACAGTAGTTTTTTTTAAAAAAGATCTTCAAACAATGCTGACTGAAAAATGAGTATGAGTCAGCAGTGTGATCTGGCTGCCCAAAAAGTAAACACAATTTTAGGCTGCATCAACAGAATTGCAGTTTCAAAATCAGAGGAAGTAATAGTTTATACTTTATACTGCTTTTGAGACCTTAAGTACTCTCCTCAAGTATGGTGAGCTATTATGGACACACACTTTAAGAAGAATTCAGAGAGACTGAAACAGAGAAGGACAATAAGAGATTTAGAAATTGAGCCCTATGAAAAGAGGTTGAGGAACAAGACATACAGTACTTAGCTTTAAGAAGATTGGAGTGTCTGTGTATGGAGATGATACCACTTTTCAAACTCCTGATAGGATGTTAATTACAAG